AGTTAAACTGTTCCGAATCATTCCACAACAAGCAGGTGAACTGGTAAGAGTTGCTGTCTATGTAGAGCACACTAAATCATTTTTAAAAACCTTTTTAAGGTCCGTTCCAGCTTTGGAACAGAAATGAAACAAACAGTCCTGACCCGTTTCAGACGGAGGACAAACACACTTTCAGCTGAGCTTCAGTACGATGATCAACCAGAAAAGAAGCCTGATGACTTCAACTACACATTATTACAATTCACTTTAATGGAGCATGCAAAACCACCAAATTACACAGCTGCTATGCATTTAGTACACATTATGATAAGAGTATACATGTAAACACACAATAATAAATATGACAAATATCTGTGGTTTGATTAGACTTCCTCTGGTCCATCATTCCCACCAGCATTAAAACGTCAAACTGAGCGCTGAACTGATGACGCATGATCAAACCAGTCAACAGAAATGCAGATGGATGAGAGGAGAGAAAACACAACACTGATCTGCAGAAGAACACAACCAAACACTCGGAAAAGAACATGTAGGACAAAGAAACAGCCTGACCATCAACAAAAAGAAGAAGAAGAAGAGTGAAGGAAACAGCAGGAACGACAGCACACGACACCGACTGAACAGCTCAGACCAATCAGAGCGGAGGAGGAAGAGGAAGAGGAAGAGACTGGGGCGACTGCTGCTGAGAGACCATCATCATCATCATCATCATCCTCTCAGAGCAGCACAAACCACAGAGACACACGTTCCTAACCAAACACCCAGCCGCTGCGCCTCTGACAGCCTGACAGGAAGAGGAAAGGAGGAGCAGGAAGGGGAGGAGCTTACAGACTACAGACACGCCCACTGCTTTTGGAGACTGCAACAGAAAACGGGTGTTTCTGCAACTACTGCAACTTTACAAATGCCTTTTATGTGTAGACTTCAATCATTTTACCCTCATCCCAGACCCAGACGTTCAAAAATAAAATTAAAAATGTTTAAATCCTTCGTAAAAAATATTACTCCAAAACAAGAAAAAATACTCTAAAACAATAAAAAGAGAGTACTCTAAAATAATAAAATGTTTTACTCTAAATAATAATCATATTACTCTGTAATAATAATAAAAAATATTCTAAAATGAAAAATATTTCTCTACAGTAATAAATATATTCTTCTAAAATAATGATAAACATTCCTCTGAAATGATAAAAAAAATACTTAAAAAAAAGGTTCCTTTAAAATAATAAAAATATGCCTTTAAAATAATATTACTGTAAAAAATGAAATAATATTCCTCTAAAATAATAGATATCACTCTAAAATAATAAAATATTACTCTGAAATTATAAAGAATATTCCTCTAAAATAATTTAAAAACTCTATAAATAAAAATATATATCAAAATATTGCTCTAAAATAATCAAAATCATAATCTAAACAAAGTAAAATGAAAATTTCTTGCGTGACAATCTATTTTTGCTGTAGGTCAGTATAATTTCGTCATATAATCTAAACAGTCCAAATATTATTTTATTTTACTTAGGAAATAAAATTCTAGCTACTAGCTAAATTAGAGTTAACAAAACAAAGGTGTCAGTCATTTTCTAAAAATATTTTAAATGTATTTTCCACTAGGGTTGCAAAGGGGTGGAAAATTTCAGGTAAATTTCCGGAAACTTTCCAAAAATCCCTGGAATATTCAGAAAAAATCCTGGAAAGTCTGGAATATTTCCGAAATTTACTGGAAATTTTCCACCTTTTTCAACCCTATTTTCCACCACGGAATGAATGATTCTCTAGCGATCCTGTCTGCGTTTGAATAAAGTTTAATTTCTCAGTGTCCATAGTTGAAGAAACACCCTTAAATATGAACTTACTTTGTATCTCAACTCTGCTGTTTCCTGTTATCGGTGAATATCGGTAAAAATATCGGATTATCGGCCTCTCGAATCAAAACAGCATCCCTGTTCTTACATCTAGAACTGAGCAAGTCCTGAGAGGAGAGCGGAGACGGCGCGTGATTGGCTACTGCTCTACTGGGGGCGGGGCATGTGACAGGAAACGCAGGGCAGAGGGAAGGTGTTGGGCTCAGGGCTAACCACACAGCAAAACAGCAGAAGGCATAATTACCACGCTCATGAGTGATGACTGATAAAGGGGAAGACGGTACGGAAAAAAATAAAAAAAGGAAAGAAAAAAGTGAGAGGTCATACATGTCACAAGGTCAGTCGCTGTTGATTGGGAAAAGCAGACTTGGATTCAATCAGCACCATTCTGAACAATCACGCATCTAACCAGACGCGACACATTTCATCTGTCCACACAGATCACAGCCAATCAGAGCACAGATGCTGTTTAACCAATGAGATTTCACGCTGTGGGACAGAATCCGAAACCGAACTGAGATCAACATCGTGCCACATCTGGTTAGGACTAGTCTGAATAAGTAACCAGACGCTTCCACCTAACTGATACTGAGTCTGACTTTAGCAGAAATGATGCTGACTGAATCCAAACCTGAGTGAATAAAGTGCAGAACTGTTTAGAGAGGGATTCATGACAAAACAAGTCAAAATTCAGAGAGAAAGAAATAATCAGAGGAAGAAGGTTAAAGGAATAGTGCAGACAAACATGAACCTCCTGCCATCGTTTACTCAGCTTCACGTCCGCTCAAACCTCCTCAGTGGAGATGATTCACACAATGTTCATGAGGCTCTTTTACAATCAAAGGCAATGCTGACACATGCTGCTGAGCTCGTACACGCGAGCGTTTCTCACGCAAAGCATCATAAGACCTGGAATATAGTGCAAAACTGTATTCATGAGGAGTTTTTGTCCTTTCTGGAGCCTGACACATTACTCTATAATAATACAAATTCTCTAAAATAATACTCTACTAAAATAGTGATAAATATTTCTCTAAAATAATTTAAAAAAAGTAAATTAATAAACATATTCCTCTAAAATAATTAACAAAAATATTACTCTATCATAAAAGCATTACTCTTAAATATATCAATTAACATCTAAACAAAGTGAAATAGACATTTAGTGTGTGAAAATATTTTTTTAATATATATTTATATTTTTTGTCATTTACAATCAAGCTTTAATAGCGTTATTATTTAATTTTATTTAGGATGTTTCAGTTAACATTTATTTTATTTCAAGTAACGAAAAAGTTTTTTTTATTTTTATATTTTTATTTTTAGTTAACTATAATAACCCTGTGGTAAAAAAATTACCAAACTGTCTTAATCAGTATTTATCTTTCAATACATAAATATGAAGATATATTTACTTATTAAGCACTTTAAACACTTATTTAAAACTTTTCAAACTATTTAAATGTTTAACCATTGCTTTCAGAAAAATGCAAAGGCTTATATCGCTTATTATTATTATTATAATATCGCCGGCTCGTCGTTTTATTCTAAAAATGATTTTAAATGAATGAATGTTGATCTGAGATGTGATGGATCTGATTCTCCTGTGATCCTGCTTTTGTGTTCCACTGAAGGAAGAAACTCATGCAGGTTTGGAGCGACGTGACGAGGACTAAACGATGACCGAGCATTCATTTTTGGGTGAACTAGTCCTTTAAAGTCATGTTACAACACAGCAAACATAAAGAAACCTGAAAAAGAATATAAAATTCATGCTTCATCTCTGAGACTCAAATGAAATGAGCTTTGAAAATAAGTTCAGTTCACTTAAAATGGCAAAAGCATCACTTCTCAAAGACAAACTTCTTAAAGACAGAGAGAGAGACAGCACATGTTAGGGTAGGGTTAGTGTCTTACGCACACTATTGAGTGCTCTTTTTTCTCATTGCACCCTTGCGAAAAAAATCATCAGGAGCTTTTTTTAGATTCAAGTCTGAGTATTTCTGCTTACAAACGTCTGAAGACCGTATCAAGCATTCATCATCATCATACACTCAAATGTACACAAACGTAAAGAATAAGGAGAAAATAATTAAATCTGACAAAGACATCTTCAGAATGGATTCTGGGATATGTGCCATGAGCGCTCAACACAACAGTAGCATTACTGTAGTTTTAAATCAATAACTCAACTAAATTAACACAGAAATGGCATGATAAATCAAGTGGAATGAAAATGATGATTAAAATTACCCGCTCTATCACTTGACAGAACTACACAGATCAAGCTCTAATCATAGTTATTGATTATAAATCATATAAATCATACCTGATCCTTCCTCCGTCACCATCCCGAGACCTTCAGCTTTATTCTGCCTCTCGAAGGCGTTGAGATCCAGAACACTGGAGCACAAACATCATTCACTATAATCACTATAATCACACTCACACACACACACACACACACACACACACACACACACACACACACAGATACACACTCTCACACACACACACAGAGATACACACACACACACTCTCTCTCTCTCTCTCACACACTCACACACACACACACACACACACACACACACCAAACATTGTAGTTCCTCAGAAACCGTTGTGGTTGCAACAAAGTGGTTGGCGAGCAACACACAGACGTAAACAAAGGTGTATGTTTGTAGAGTAATTTACAACAGCTTCGAACGCGGCTCAACCAATCAGAATCAAGGACCGGAACTAGCCGCTTTATAAATTGTTTTTCTAGAATTGTCACTTTTGATCAATTTAATGCAGCCTTGATGAATAAAAGTATTAATTCTTTATATAGTAAAAGCCTATATTGCACTAAGAGATATGGTTTGTTTTTATTTCTGTTTCTAGTGTGTCGCTGCAGCTTCACCTCAGGCCTTCACTCACGCACACACACACTCACACACAAACACACACACTCACTCACTCACTCACACACTCACACACACACACACACACACACACACACACACACACACACACACACACACACACTCACTCACTCACTCACTCAGAGACACACTCTCTCACACAAACACACACACACTCTCTCTCACACACACAAACACACACTCACTCACTCAGAGACACACTCTCACACACAAACAAACACACACACTCCTCACTCACAACACACTCACACACAAACACACACACTCACTCACTCACTCACTCACTCACTCACTCACTCCTCACTCACCACTCACTCACTCACTCACTCACTCACTCACTCACACACTCACATACACACACACACTCAACACTCATCACTCACTCACTCACTCTCACATACACACACACTCACTCTCACACAAACACACTCACTCTCACACACACTCTCACACACACACCACCCACTCACTCACACACACACTCACACACACTCACTCACTCCACTCACTCATCACACACAGTCACTCACTCACTCACACACACACTCACTCACACACTCTCACTCACTCACCTCACTCACA